CCGCAGGGCCCGCCCCGCGTGCGGGCTCCGCCACGCCAGGCCGACGAGCGCGTGCGCGGCGAGATCAAGCGTGGGGGGAGGGTCGAGGGTACAGCCTCCCCCTTCCGCGGGGCTGCGCAGACCCGCTTATGGTCCAGGCCATGCTGAGGTCCGAGCCTCTGTATCCTGGAAAGGTTGCCTCTCCGGGGACCTGAGGCCATGTGTTTATTAAAAGGGGATGCAGAGACTCGGAGCGCAGCTCGGCAGCGGATAGCTGGCCCACCCGGCCCGTGTGAGACCCTGGGTTAGACCCGTAGCACACACGCGGACACGCGCATGTGCACACGCACAAGCGCGTTGCTGGGCATCTGCAGCTCCTGGTGCTAGCCGCCCCCGTGCTCCTCCTCTGGTGCCATTCATCCTTCCCACAAGTGCAAGTCCCCTTTCCTGAGGACCAGGAAGTGGACTAGGCTTTTTTTTTTTTTTTAGTCGTGGGTCTTGACCTCTGGGCCTGGGAGCTGTCCCTCAGCTCTAGGCTAGCGCTCTACCACTTGAGCCACAGCGCCACTTCTGGTTTTTTTGGTTGTTTATTGGAGATAAGAGTCTCACAGATAGTCTGAGAAGGTGGCTCAGTGGTAGAGTGCTTGCCTTGCATGCTTGAGGCCCTGGGTTCGATTCCTCAGCACAACATAAGCAGAAAAAGCCGTAAGTGGGACTGAGGCTCAAGTGGTAGAGTGCTAGCCTTGAATTGAAGAGCTGAGGGACAGCACCCAGGCCCAGAGTTCAGGCCCCACAACCAGAAAAAAAAAAAGTCTCACGGAGGGGCTGGGAAGGTGGCTCAGTGGTAGAGTGCTTGCCTTGCATTCATGAGGCCCTGGATTCGATTCCTCAGCACCACATAAGCAGAAAAGGCCGGAAGTGGGGCTGGAGGCTCAGTCTACAGCTTAAGAGCTGAGCGACAGCGCCCAGGCCTAGAGTTCAGGCCTCATGACCGACCAAAGCCCTGGCTGGCTTTGAACCTCAATTCTCAGATCTCAGCCTCCTGAGTAGCTGGGGTGACAGTGCCTGGCTCAGGGCCTTTTTTCTCTTAAACCTCATATTCATTCCATTCTGTGTCTACAACATGCTAGCAAAATTCATTGTACAGAGGAGGAAAGTGGCTCCGACAGGTGAAAGGCATTTTCGGAATCATTGTTGGCACACCTCGGACTGAGAGACCTCAAGGTGTCCCCTGGCAACACCTGAACTATTGGGGGTTGAGTCTTGGCCCTGCCTTTTAACTGGCGGAGGGAACTTGGGAAGCCTTGCGCTTTTCCAGGCCTCAGTTTCCCCTTGTGCAAAAAGGGTAAAGTGGGCTCTCAGTCAGGGTGACCAGGCTCCTCTGGGTGCAGTTGTCCCCAGGGCGTGTCTGGGTGAGTGTATTCTGCAGAAGACTGGCCTCCGAGAGGGAGTCGCCGACGCAGCACTTGAACGGAGGGCCAACCCCTGTTTCCTCCTCTGCCGATCGCTTGGACCACTGCCTTGCCTGCTGGTTTCCACCCCATTCTCCATGTCTGCCATTTCGGCGTCGCGGTTCCACGGAGGCGGTTTTGAGGCCCGCACCGTCGGATCTCGAGCAGGGCTCCTAGCGGCGCCATTTACCAGTCGATGGGAAGCCGTCTCGCCGTTTCCCCCCGGAAGGCGAGGCTGTACTTGTGTGTCTGGGTGAATTGCAACCCTCCCCTGGGCAGGGGGACGGGTGAGACGGGGAACCCTGCACTGACGCCGCCCCTCTCTCCTCCTAGCCGGCTCCCGTGGTGCTCAGACCCAAGGTCCCCACCGCTCCATGGACACTCCCAGCCCAGACCCGCTGCCTTCGCCTCTGCCCGGGGAGGAGGAGAGACCTTTGGCTGGACTCCCGCAGGTGCCCAAGGGCCACCACCGCCGCCACCCTCCGGGCCGAGCCACCTCATCCGGGCGCGTGCTCAGGGCCTCGCGCCCTCGAAAGCGGGGCCGGCCCCCCAAGTCCGGGCCGGAACCCGCGCGGGCGCAGGGGCCGCCAGCGCCCGGGGACGGCGGCGGCCTCCTGCTGATCGATGACCAGGGTGTGCCTTACACGGTGTCTGCGGGGGACGCGGCGGGCGTGCCCGCTGGCTCTGGGCCCAGCCGAGCCCCGCACTTCTGCCCGGTGTGCCTGCGGGCCTTCCCCTACCTCTCCGACCTGGAGCGCCACAGCATCTCGCACTCAGAGCTGAAGCCTCACGAGTGCAAAGACTGCGGCAAGGCCTTCAAGCGGTCAAGCCACCTGCGGCGGCACAGCAACATCCACGCGGGCCTACGGCCCTTCCGCTGCGCGCTGTGCCCGCGCCGCTTCCGCGAGGCCGGGGAGCTGGCACACCACCAGCGCGTGCATTCCGGGGAGCGCCCATACCAGTGCCCGCTGTGCCGCCTGCGCTTCACCGAGGCTAACACGCTCCGCCGCCACTACAAACGCAAACACCCCGAGCTAGCAGGAGTGCCCGTGCGCCTGTGCCCGCCGGACCCCAGACCCGCGCTGCCCTGGGGCGAGGAGGGCGTCCCTGCAGCAGCCGACGCCAGCCTGCCGGGCGAAGGCCCCAAGGCCGAGCACCCTGCCTGACCTGCACCCCCGTGACGGCTTGCTGGTGCTGGCCAGGGCTCGGAGGCCCGCACACCCCACTCTGGGGCGGGGCCTGCTCTTCAGGGACACGTGGCCTTCGGCTGGGCCTCTCCCACAGACTGCCAGGCTGGAGCTGTGGAAATAAACCCCTGCCTACTGGCCGCCCGAGTGTGTTCTGTAATGCTTTCTCCCCCCTCCGGTGTTCTCAGACCCTCAATGCCCTGAAAGGAGTGTGTAGGACCCGACAGAATGGCCTAGAAAAAGCCTTAGCCTGTTTTCCATCTCCATCAGACCCAAAATACTGCCCCAAGCCAGTGGCTCAGGCCTGTCATCCAACTACTCAGGAGGTGGAGATCTGAGGATCATAGTTCAAAGCCTGCCTGGGCAGGAAAGTCCATAAGACTCTTATCTCCAATGAGCACCAGAAAACCAGAAGTGGCGCTGTGTTTCAAGTGGTAGAGCACTCGCCTTGAGTTGAAGAGCTGAGGGACATCGCCCAGCCCACACTTCAAGCCCCATGACTGACAAAAACAAACAGGCCCCAAATAGTCCCTGTTCACAGTCAAAACCACTGGGTTTTCCTTGCAAGTGTGTGGCTGGCCATGGATCTACCCCTCTGCCTTGGCTACACACACAGATTCAGTTCCAAGTGGGATGCAGAGTTTCTAGGAAGGAAAGACTGAGTTAAAGAATGACAGTGTAACTCTTTGTCAGTCGTGGGGCTTAAACTCTGGGCCTGGGCACTGTCCCTGAGCTTTCACTCAAGGCTGGCGCTCTACCACTTGAGCCACAGCACCACTTCCTGCTTTTCCTGCTTATGTGGTGCTGAGGAATTAAACCCAGGGCCTCGTGCATGCAAGGCAAGCACTGTACCACTGAGCCACCTTCCCTGTGTAATTTAGTGGTAGAAGTTTTTTGGGGGGAGGAGGGTTCATTGTGGGTCTTGAACTCTGGGCCTGGGCGCTGTCCCTCAGCTCTTCAGCTCAAGGTGAGCGCTCTACCACTTGAGCCACAGCACCACTTCC